GCATGTGTAGTACTTTCCAACCACAGCCACAACGGCAATGGCAAAGTCGACGGCGATGATGACGATGTTGACGAGCTGACGACGAAAGCAATACGCCATACATAACTCATCGCACATAATGAGACTGCAATAATTCACTTGCTCTTCATGCTCGTGATCCTCGCGGGCAGTGCATATAAAGACACAACAAACCAACCAAAACGCACACACACACACACACACACACACCCATAGTCAAAGTCGGGCCTAGTGATGGAAGTTCGCTGCATGATATATACTCGTACTATACCCGTAATATTTTTGAAATAACAACTTCTAAAGCCACGTTATAGGGAAACAATGTAGAATATAGTTTTGTGCTAATGATTTTTATTTCATTTTAAAGCAAAATTCTCTTCATTAATTGCATTTCATTAATACTATATACTATACATACATACATATGTGAAATTTGCTTGACCATTAACGAGCATTTATTATTAATTAATTATTAATCAAATCAATTTCGTTTAGCATCTAGGAATATACATACTTATTAAAATCTAACCACACTCATTTATTTATTTATTTTAAATTTAAATAATTATTAATTGCTTTTGATTTAATACACAATTAATATGCAATTTTAAAACTGTTCTCTTTTCGTTTTTATTTGGGTTTTTCGATTCGCAATTTTTTTCTTTCGATATAAAAAGTGATAACTCTAATCTATGCCTTTAAAGAACCTATAAAATACAGATCTGCTGTAGAATGTTTATAATACGAGTACGAGAGCACCTGCTTTTCCAAAGGGATTAAGTATTTCATAGAGCAATGGACATTTGTCTTAAAGGATGAAGGATACTGCGAATTCTTAGCAGCTAAAAGCAAAAATTGTTTCCTCACAATTTCTCATATTTTTTACATTGATTATATTTTTTGAAAATTATTGTAATTATTAGATCAATATATTTTGTTGAATTCTTATTTATATACAATGAAATATTTAAACAGCGATTTTAAATATATATTTTGATGGCATAATAGATATGAGAATTTTGGAAAATGGAATCGAATTTTATATCTGTTGGAAATACTTGGAAAATACAGGAAATTAAAAACCAATTTAACATAAGAATCGAAAAATTTGTATAAAAACAGGAACGGGCTAATAAGCAGCCGTCTGAAATTGTTTGTATTCGTGTATTGGGCGTGATTTGCGCCATGCTCGTCTCTATTTAAAAAAGTCATAGCCAGGCACTGTTATAACAACAACAACCACAACAACAAAAGTAGCAACAAGCCAGTCAGCCAGCCAGCCAGCCAGCCAGCCCGCATGACACTCCTTGGTCCAAGCCAAGCCAAGCCAAGCCGAAGCCGAAGCTGAAACTGAAGCCAAGCTATGAATCTGAAGCTCTGTGCGGCCCGTTCACAGCCGTCGCTGCAGTTGGAAATCTTCATGCACTCCTAGTTTTCTGTAATTAAGTGTAATGAGCGTAATTGCTAATGTGTGTGGAGCGCACGTTGCAAGATTTGCTGAAGCTGTTACTCAAGCAGAAGCTGAGCTGCGGCTGCAGCTGCGGCTGAGGCTAAGGCTGATGCTGGGGCTGAGGCTGGAACTGAAGCTGCCGGCTGCTGGCTGCTGCTGACGTTGGACCGAACTGGATTGGGACTACGACTATGTCTGCTATGGCAATGGTGGTGGTGGTGGCGGTGGCGGTGCTGGTGGTGGTGGTGGTGGTTGCAGCGGCAACTGCCGCGTGTGTGCGATTTAGTTGTAGCCTCGATCTTGGTCGCTGCCTGTCTCGTTGGCTGTCCCTGGGACGGCATGGCTTGGCACGATCTTGCCGGCTCGTTTTGTCGGTTTTGGTTTTGGTTTTGACTTGGTTTGGTTTTAATTTAACGCAGTGTGCGTGTTCGTTTGCGTGTGTGTGTGTGTGTGTGTGTGTGCGTGTGTCTGTGCAGCAAGTGAAATTAAAATGTATGACAAAGTGCGTGCAATAATTCGTGCAAGTTTAATGAGTCCTCGCAATGTGGACATTTGTCGTCGTCTAATTGTACTAGATATGGATATTTTAATTGAATGAGAACGATGTCTTATTAGTGGTGCAATTAGTCTATTTGTGCAGATCGCAGATCGCAGATCGCGCATCTTTGGTCAGCAGACCTTGTTGGTTTTGGTCTTGTTGTGTGCGGCCACTATCCAGTGGAGTTGGCCGTCGCATTGGAGTTGGCTCACAGAGTAGAGTTGACATTAGAGTTGGCAGTAGATTCAGTTGTGGCAGCAGTTCTCGAATGGCCGTCCAGCTGGTTATTCTTCAGTTCGGTTGCTCAGTTCAGTTCAGTTCAGTTCTTCAGACTGTCATAACAGCAATTACATGCATGTTGTTCGCCTTGCATTTGGTAATCAAATTGCGCGCTAAACGTTGGGGCATTTGGGACTGGCCGTGTGCTTGGGGCCCCTACGGCCCCCTTCTATTTATGCATTGAACTAATATGGCTAAGTGTGTGAGTATGCATATACTTATATAAATATAGCTGCTTTATCCATGGATTGGCAGAGCCATGTTATTTGAATTCAAGAAACATTTATTAAAAGTTTAAATGGTATAAACTCATTTTCCTCCTGAAATAGTTACAAAAAGCAGCACAAATATTCAGGATGTGTCTCAATGGCTCTGGAGTTCGCAAATTAAATAAGCTAAAAAGTTAAATTAATAGTAAAATAAAAAGCAATACAAGTAGAAACGGATCAATACGAGATAAATTTGAATATTCATTAAAAACATATTTATTATTATGCGCCAATTTCTCATAAATTGTTATATGTGAGGGACTAGATGTTGTTGGAAAAACAAATAAAAGGATGTAGAGGATGATGATTAGAGGAATGAAAAACTGAAGTTAAACAATTAAAAAAAAAAAATTATACATTTATTTATTTTAAAAGGAAACGTAATAGTATTACATAGAAACCAAGCGGTTCCTCAATAAAAACAAAAGAGAAATATTACAAAAATAGTAGCGCGAGAACAAAAAATATTTTCGGTATTAAATAAATATAAAATGCGAATAAAAATAAAAGTAACGATTGCAGAAATGCACAATTTTATAAAATAGTAACTATACAAAAAAGTTTAAAAATTTAAAATTTAACTTATTTCACTTTTATTAGGAAATGTCCCGAGACAAGCTGCTGACTTGTAAAAATCAAATTTAAGACAAAAATCGACTTCATATGAAAATAAATTTTTATTATTGCTTAGGAATATTTCTTGAAAGTGTAATCCATCAAATCATTCCCTCGCATGAATGTATGGCCTTGAAGTGCGGGCGAAATACTTTTAAATACTGATTGGCTTGTCAGTAAGTATTCAATATTTATTTGTGCTAATCGTTGTTGTTAGTCCCAAATATTGAGTTACCGAGCTTTTGTAGCTCACTGGCAAGTCTGTTTATTTTGTCTGCGTTTGTGTCTGGAGTCCAGATCCAAGCCAAGTGCAAATGTTTTGTGCGCGTTTCTTGCCATTTAAAGGCAAATCAAGTGCATGGGCTGTGGAATCGACATCGGCATCGGCATCGCCTTCGCGATCGCGATCGCGATCGAGTTAGTATGTGCTGCATATATTGACGATACGCATAGGTTTAGTGAACTATAGGTTATGGTCCTACTTCCAATGTTTTCGTTTTTTATTTGTTTTCGCCAGCAGTGTGTTTTTTGCTTTTGTTTTTTTTTGGCTACGCAGTATTTTAAGGATCAGTTCGCACCCCAGCCTTGTTAGGGCCAAGTACTATTTGTTCTGGCACTCACGGCTGCGCGTGCGCTGCGCTCGATTGCCCGTGCAAATGCAAATATTTGTGGATCACGTGCATTTGTGAATTACAAAGGAGAAAGGAGATGAAAAGTGAAAACAAAGGAGGAGAGGAAAGCAAATACGAGTATACTATACATGCGTATGAACGCAAACGCAGTTCATTGAGCAATGATCGTGCGCTGTTGGGTCTGTGTGTCGCCGCCAAAGGGTTCTGTCAATATTTGCTCTAACTCGAGTCTGCCAGTCCCTCATCCTGCTCTCTTCACTCTCTTTTGGACTGGCTCTCTCTGTCGCTCTCGCTCTCGATCTCCTTATCTTGAGCACCCGCGCCATTTGACTGATTACCTCTCTGTTTGACTGATTGACTTTGAGTTGAGCGCGCACGCCTTCGCAATGTTGCGTCTGATTGTCAGTCTGTCCATTCGTCCAGTCGTCGCTTCGTCCGCGATGCTGCTGCAGATAAACGACTGCAAAGGATATCAAGGCGCTGCGCACGTTCATCAATTTTTGTTTCGTATTTGCTTCCTGTGCGCGTCTTAAATATGATTTGCTGTGCCACTCACATGGCTCCGTCTCTCGAAATCAGATGCAAAGTTCTGATTCAGATTTTGTCGTTCCGTTGTCGTTATTTCAGCTTGTCCGCTGTCCGCTGTCCGTTGTTCGCTGTCTGTTGCCAGTTGTCCGTTGTTGTATGTGTGTGTGTGTGTTTTTTTTTTCTGTTGCCTGTTTTTATTTCTGGCTTATTTGCTTGGCCCGTCGCAGACATGACTTGGCGCCAAGCTGGCCATTAATTATAACAATTCCATGCATTGTCACACGCACGCACACATGCACACATTTATACTTTCATTTACACACATACAGTAGAAGGGGCCGCAACACGTACACGCACACGTACAAGTAGAAAATTTATAGGCCGCTGCCTGCAACGCCGCGGCCGTTTGCGTCACTTGGGTGGTGCCACTCGAGCCCTTCTCCTTTATATTATTTTTATTGAATTGTGTGTGTGTGCGTGTTTTTTTTTTGTTTTTTTTTTTCTAAAACTTTGCACACGGCAATTGCACAACAACTGTTACTGTTTCTGTCACTCTCCAGGTCCAGGTCCAGCCGCAAAAGGTCAAGCTGCAAGATGCATGCAGTCTCTTCATTGACAATTAAATATCTTGTATTGATCACTTTATTGTCCTCGTTTGGCCATTTTTTCAGCTGCCCGGCCTACGCATTGTCCTATGGGCATGACCATGTCCTGCGTGTCCTTTCGGACTATGTGTCCCTTAAACTGAACTAAATGTGATTGTCGTTGCCAGTTTGAAGTGGGCGCGTCACTTTGATGTTGTCGCACACACACACACACACACACACTAACATACACACACTCACATACACACACACACACTGGCACAATGGGTTGGTTCTTTCATAATTTTGGTCCTCTATGATTCCTTTTGTTGGCACTGCGGTCCTGTCCATTGTTAATCTGTAATGTTATTTTGCAATTGAAACACCTTTGGCCTTATTAAGCGGAAAAGTGCACACAATAAGCGCATTGTTAAGTGAGAATAATTTATTTTGAGTGCGGCGCCGGCTTGTCGCACCGCCAATTCAGTTTCGGTCACCCATTCAATGGCATCCAGAGGATACGAATCTCGGCATCGGGATGGCGCTGTTTAGCTGTCTACAGTTCACACAATACGCACTCATTGTATATATTTAATTAATTAAGCACTTCTTAAGTGTAGGAACTTGAAAATGTAATCCTCAGAAAGGAAAAACAAATCGTATTTAATAAAAATTATAACTTATTATTCATTAATAAATGGACTTTCGGGAGAAAATAGCAAAACTTTGCAGGAAATTATGCTAATAGAGCAATGCGAGTATAAGGAGCTGTCCAAGCAGGATTACTAAAATAAATAAACTATAAACAGTATCGGGGAACAAAATTGATTTTAAATGTAATTGAATCAGAAAAATATTGACTCCGTTGAAAACAAATATAAGTCTAATTAATTTCTTAAGCTTATAAGAAGCACTTAAAAATTGTGATTACTCTCAAAGATTACGTAAAAGAGGTGCAGCAAAAATTGGAAGAATTCCAGGCTGACTTCAAATCGCAAATTTTAAACTGAACGTAGTGCCGAGCACATCAAATCCTCCACTTTACTTTTTAGGCATACAAATTTTGTTGTACAGAAAACCATACCTGAGTATAGAACATTTTTTGGTTGTAATTATTATAACAATACATATTCATGACTTCTTAAACTGGACCAAATTGAGCGAAAAATTGTTGTCAATCTGACCACACCTTAAAAACAGTACATATATTCTTCCGGTAACACCGACTAATCCAAAAAAAGTTAAAAAGATGCAAAGAAAGGCATAAAGGCAAAATGTAGAAGCAAACAATTAATCTGTAAGAAACGCGTACTCAGTCTATATATAGTATAAGTACTATTCTACTTAAGGCCAGATCGGAATAGTGATAAATTTTGGATTTGCTTTCTTCATTACATTTCCCATAGTCCATAAACCATAACAGAATATGGGAATTATTATTTGAAAAAATGTATGAACTGCTTTCGCTGTTTTTTATTTTCTCACGAAGGAGAATTCACCTTATATTGTTCAGCAATATATGGATGTACATTTATTTTAATGCCTATCGAATCATACTATATACCTGAGCTGTAATCAAATCAGAGGGCTAACAATATTATACTAGTGTACAAGGGCGTAGGCAGCTTTTACCAAAGGGGGCGGGCCAAAAAATTAAAATTTTGATTAAATAATGCACGATGCATTTAAAAAATAGCTTATGCATATGATCAATGAAAAAACTTCAACAAATCTAACTCAGATCCATTTTATGGCGAAATAATAATAATGCGTCATAATAATGAACGTGTGGTTGACTTTATATGGGGAATTTTTTTTTTAGGCAACGGCCTCCCCCTCCCCCCTGCCTACGTCCTTGCTAGTGTACCAAGGAATGTGTATATAGTAAGTAGTAAGTGTTCGTGTTTATTCAAAAGCTCTTTGAAATAAATCCGAAATAAAATGAAAACCCTCCTCGCTGTGTGAAACTGCAGCAGACTTGATTTCATCATGTCAGCAATTAGTCAGTTTTTTGCTCCAGCATCGCGAAATTATTTATTTAATATGCCAATTATGGAGCGGAGATGGAGGGACTCACACAGGGGTGTCTGCTTCGGTTCGCTTCAGTGGTCTATTGGTCAACAGCTGCAGCACTATGTGTTCGTCGCCTTTTTGCTTCCGTGAAATAAAAAACCGAAAATGCTGATCGCGAATTGACAGATTTCAACACCTATTCCCATGGCTTTTGATGGCGATAACGAAATGAGGGCGAAAACGCTGCGACGGCAGCTTCCAATTTCAAGCTGGATGATGAAGATGCATAAACAAACTGCGGAACAGAAAGCAGAAAAAGCATTTTGTAATAATTACCGAAGTGTCGAGGCTATAAAGGTGGAGGATGCTGGAGGGGGCTGAATGGGGCATTAAAAAATAAACAGCAATTGTGTTTCCTCTCTGCTGCCTTCGTCTTCGTCTTTGGAGACTTGGTCGCTTGGTGGGTGCGCTAAGTGTTGTCGCTCGAGAGCTTGTTCTAACCTTCAACGCATTTAGGGCGAAAAAATATATAATGCATTATCTAATAGATCTGCAGCGGAAAACATAACTCAAAAACATCTCACTTATGTTGTAAACACGTAAACAAAAAAAGGAACACACTTGTGGGGAAGAAACGAAAAGAAATAAGATATTTTATTATTAATAGTGCGAGAGCGCCAGAAAATTTTGTGAAGCAAATCGGGCGGCTCTGCCGTCCCCGCTACTGCTGGCGCACGTGACGACCACCGCAATATACTAAAAGTCCAAAACAACAACAACAGCAACAACAACAGCACTAACACCAAGAACAACGAAAACAAAACAACAACATAGGGGTAAGGTAGGCACGGTTGCCAAAGGTAAGATCAAAATATAAACTACAAGTTAAGAAGTTGTCTGCGTCAGCGTCGAAGCTACGAGTGTACTCGTATACCCTTCATTGTGTCTTGCAATAAAAACGTTATTATTCCACAGTGATATTCCAAGATTTATACACTCTCACTGCCCAGGTTCAAAGCAGTTTTCGCCTATTTTGCCTTCCTCCCCATTTGAAATCATTTGTAACAACTGGTATTAAAACACAATCAGATGTGACAATATTGATAATAATAGATGCAAGGGGGTAAAAGAAAGTCTAAAACTTAATATATATTTATATGTGTAAAAGAAAAAACGACGACACGATTCGATATTGATAAGTCCGTTCGTATGAACATTCAAAACTATTGAGCCATTTGAACTAACGAGCATTTTTGAAGCGTCACCAATCTTCGTGTTCTGATCCATGTTCAGAGCAAGTTTATCTCAAACCATATAAGGCCAACGCTTCCGAGATGCAGATCGTGTGCGATACATTTTTTTTTTTAGAAAATAGCGTATCCAAAATTAGTACATACATTTTTAATTTTACTTTTTATAAATGAATATATTTTTCATACAAAAACTTTTGTGACATCATAACGTCTCTATAACAGTTGTACATGTATGTATAAGTATGATGTAGGGATCTGACACTCTGATGTATATGAGAAATGCTTTGGTGCATATTTTTGCGACCCATTTGCTATAGGACTTTGGGAGGAGTTATGATTGAGGCACCACGATTTGAAATTTTTTCGTCGTATACCCATGCATGTGGCCTGCCATGCTTCCAAGCCTCCACCGAAAGCGATATACTTCTACATTTTTCAATGAAGAGTATAAAAAACACATTAAGATTAAATCGCAAGCAAGAGTCATTGAGAGAGGGACACACAGGCTGCTGGAAAATGGGCAGCAAGCGTGTGACTGCAACTGCCTTTTATTACATACTCTATACTCTCTATATCTAGAGGGGGAGTATATAGGTTCTACTACGAAAAGCTGTCCCTGTTGTGCGTATAGTACATCTATTGAGCTTAAATTCAATTGCTTCCAACTGCTGTTGTTACTCTTTGAACTTTTGAACTAATTTCAGATCAATGGTACTTTTAGAGAAATAAAATGTTCTAAGGGTTTTCTAAAAGACCTTTCGGTTTTAAACGCAGCATTTTCTTTATTGGCGTAACTGTAAATTTACTTACGAATAACGTGTAATTTCTCACCTTACACAACGAATGCATTGGAATGCATAAAGTTCAGAATTTCTTGAATTGCAGAAGTTCAGATCTTCCTGATAGTTTTATGAACAGCAGACTCCGTGCGACGACTATGTGGATTACATTTTAAAATTAGGATAAGCGCTTTTTATATACATTTGCTATTGTACATTGATATCGGTTTGTATAAGGATTTGCCAAACAACTACAAGTAGGTTTATATATAAGTATACGGAAATTGAAATATTAGCCAGCTTGACAAGATGTTCCATTATAAATAATAAGCGTGCATAAAGAACTGATGTTCCCTTATCTATTTCACAGAATACTCAGAAATTGGTTCCTTTTTCTTAATGGGATATGCCATGTTGGGTATACAGTAAGGACTTTTGATTCATTTTTTGATATTTGATTTTTTTTTTTTTATGTATTTAATTTTTTTAATTTAATTGACAAATAACTGTCAATGTTAAACATAAACATATGTGATAACAGTATAGAGTAAGCCATAAACCGGACTGGCAATCAAATTTTCCCCGACACGGGTTGGCGATTTTCCTCTTTCTGTTTCTTTTTCTCTTTCCGCCTTACTTCAGCTAGATAGCTCTTAAGTACAATGGAGTTTATCTATTTTTTAGTGGTGTAGATCTATAATGTCTCTAGCAACATATGGCTGTGATCCGGGGCAAATAAAACTACCCCAACGTGTCGGAGGCATTAATAGACATTATTGTAGAGTTCTTATTGAGGCTTTTTTATATTTTTAAGCTTAAATTACAGCAATATTTGTTGATATATTAAATAAATAACAGAGAGAGGCCTGGCAGGCCCCACAAGGTATATTTATTGTTGAGCAGCAATGAAGACGAGATAATGTCGACAAAGCGATATCCGTCTGTATGAACGAAAGGATCTCAGCTAGTATAGCCTGATGCTTATAAACCTTCCTTCCTTAGTAAATCGTAGGACGGTTCTTGGAGTAGTTTTTCTCCACAGGACCAACAAGGAATTATTTGCCGTTCATATTGGCAAGATGCACAACTGATTACGCTTTGCACAATCGTTTTCGGGTCACGTG